TCTGTTACTGCTCAGAGTTAAGGTGTTGAAGGCACTTGTAGAAGGTTTTCTTTAAAATATTATGTGATTGAATATTTTGAAGTTAAAGATACATGATTTGATGAATAGAGAGACAGACAGACACACATTAGACCCAATTCAACATGAATGGCAATTCTAAACTTAACCTCACTCACATTCTGATATGCTCTTGTGAGAGGGAAATGGAGTAGTGACATGCTGGCCCTAGAACTGGACCCTGCAGGTGACCCACCACCTGCCCTATTCATGGCACAGGCCAGGATTCTAAGAGTGACCTTGGCTGAGGGCACATGAATGCACATCTTCCTTCATGCGTGTTAGAGCAGGAGGAAGGGTGGGGGCTGCCCGATGTCATTCAACCCTGTTAGAGTGAATCGGGAAACTGAGACCAGGAGAGAAAGAGAAACTTGCTCAAGGCCTGCACACTAAGACTGAAACCCAGATCTCCTAATTCCAGGCTCACAGTCACCAAGAACCATTACCTTTTAAAAATGGGGCTCCGAAGACAGAGAAGAGCTCATCCGCGTGGTCCCCTCTCACCGTCTTGGGTTTCATGTCTGATGAGAAGCTTGGGCGATACCCAAACTCATACATGTAGGTGGGGGCTCCGGCATCTGAGAAGACATGTTCATGCACAGTTCATGTTACCAGACACACACCTGGATGGTGTCAAGGTCCCTGGCCCTGCAGGAAACCCCTGGTGATCAGCACAGTAGAGAAACAGTTTCAGCAAAATTCAGTGACTTCCTGAGGGCTGCATAGCTAGTTAAGGTAGAATTGGGATTTGAGGCAGGCATTTGTTGAATGAGTTAATGAATGAGTGAATACCAAATAAATGAAATTTAAAACCCTGGGTTGACAAATTTAAAATAACTATCATTATGGGGACACTGGGTCCCTTTGCCGCATGATGCATTCACATACACGCAAATCTATATACACGCAGTTTACGCTATTCTATTTCAGGGACTAGTGTTCATTCACTTGGAGAATATATACATCCTGATAGGCGTCTTCTGTGCACACTAGTTTTGATCGTTTCTAGTGTTTTGTTTTTTTTTTTATCCACTTAGGAGTGACGCAAATCCAAATTGCTTGCCTGAAAACAAGGATATTCAAATACAAACATAGGCAGAGAGAGAACGATGTATCCCTTATTTCTCGGGAACCCACACAACTCAGCACGTCCTATTTCCCTGTGTCCTCAGACATCTTGCTTCCTGTTTGGCCCGGGGAATGTTGAGGCTTTAAGGCTGTTAAGGTGGTGGAGATGAGAAGGGGCCGTGGAAGGGTGACCTTCCTGTCCTGACTTCTCCTCCTCTCTCCCCACCAAACCCACTT